ACACAGTACACAGTATATATGTGTGTATTTATCTGTGAGGTGTCATCAGGAGGAACTCGTGTTTGTATTTGTCACACATCATGTTTCATGCTGAAGGCCTTCCTCACACATCCTGACATTTCCTGGTTTGGGACCAGAACAACAGATTTGTGGAGGTTTTTCCTCTTAAAGACTGTTTTAAATTTAGAAAACAAATCATTAACATGATTATAAAGTATAATTTATTTTTTATTACTGGCTGAGCTCATGAAGCTGATGTCATTAAGTCTGTAATTCCTCCTCTGACCACTGGAGGCGCTCCTCACGGAGTCAGACTGAAACGGAGGTGAACCGGAAGTGACGTAGTTCCTGCTGCTCTCTGCAGGCGGCAGTTCATCAGACGAGCTGTTGTCTTGTTTCTGTTGAAGCTGCGCAGTTTCAGGTAACAAGAACAGAAACTTGTCGTTGTTGAGGCGGTGAAACAAGCAGGAGTGACGCAGAGAGACGCACGAGGCGTTTCTCTGTCAGCTAGCTGCAGTTAGCCTCTGACGCTAACTAGCTGTTAGCTCTGTTAGCTCTGTTAGCTAACAAGCAGAGAGGCTGCAGCGGGAAACTTTCTGTGTGTGTGTTTGTTTTTACTTTGTTTTAAASAGGAGGTAAATGTTTCAGGCAGAAGCTAACAGGCTAATTAGCTTCATGACAGAGCTAATGTTGAGGCTGTGCTGGGACAAGACTCAGCTGTTTGTGTTAAATTATAAATATTAATGATTAGTTATTTGATTAGTTCACCTCACAGATGTTTAATGTTGTTTATAAGCTGAAGCTGTGAAATGCAGATGTTTGTAAAGAGTTAGTTGTTAAAGAAACATAATGAGAGGTCTGCCTCACWAACTGACACATGTAACAACTGTCCAGATGTGCCTCTGACGTCATGACTCTGGTTTGAGATGTTTGAACAGGTGTAACTCTTTGTTGTCAGAAGCAGCCGACAGGTAAGAGCACACCTGGCCTCGCTCACATGGGAGACAGCGATGACGAGTTCGACAGGAGGAGGCGGGACAAGTTCAGGAGGGAGCGCAGCGACATGGAGAGGTCCAGGGAGCGGGAGGACAGGAGGAGGGACGACTGGGCCGACAGGTACGCTCACCTGAGCTGGGTCCTGGTCTCCTCTGGTCTTTGGATCAGGGGTCTCAGAGGGTCCAGGCTCCTGTCATCATCCTTTTTATACCTGCTGTACTCTGCTGTGTAGGCTTCAGTAGATCAGGTGATGTCTGTAATGAGAAGGGGCGTGGTCTGATGACATCATCACTCTATATAAGGTGTTAATTATTAGACACCTTTCCTTTGATAAAACGGGTCAACAGGTGTGACGGGCAGAGAACAGGTGTGATGCAGAGAACAGGAAGTGTGTTCACACTGAGCTTACTAAGGTTTAATCAGCTGATGAAATGAGACAGGATGGACCTGAGGCTGGACCAGGACAGACCACAGAGCTCCAGCATGGTGGAGGTGTGGTACTGGTATGGACTGGTGTCAAAGATGATCTTCTACRTGTTCTGGAAGATGGTGTTGTCTCCATCACAGCCTGGCTGGTCAGTAAAGGTCTACAGAAGATGAATAATGACTCCTGGTTCACCTGATCTGAACCTCTTACAGTACAGAGCCACTTCATTCAAAATAAATAAAATCATGTAATTAATGAAGTTTTATTAAATATTCCATCAAATAAATAATGTCTCTGTGAAACTAAACAAAATCAATCAAATTATCAAACATTTTAGCATGTCTTTATATTATTTATATTAAATTCATGCATAATAAGACATGTTTCATTATGAGGAAAGGTGAGGCCCCGCCCCCCAGAGGTGAAACAGAAACACTTCCTGACCGACCCACACAGAAAACACTTGGTTCAAGATGGCGGGCTGAGTGGTCGTGTGTTTTACAGCTCACACAGTAAGTCCTACATTAGACTTATTTCCAGTTTAATTCTCCAGTAAAAACATTGAACTGGTTTCTATAACAGTTATTAAGTCTCTTCACCCTAAAACTGATTTAAAAAGAAAGACACAGCTCTAAACAAAGACCATGATCATGGAGCCATGGAAGTCTCCACCCAAAGCCAAAGAGAACGAGGCGGATCTGCACCATCAACTCCCAGTAACACGAGGGGGGTAAACCACTGAGGCCAGTCCAAGAGGAGAATGAGGAGATTTCTCTGAAAGGCTTTATGACGCTCAGAGAGAACGTGGATAAWACYGAACAACAAGTGACACACAGCAGTGTAATGTTCGCTAGCTTAGCCAAACACTGGAGTYYAATGCTAACGAGGTGACAGACTGTAAGACAGGAAAAGAGCTGAAAAGCAAAGTGAACAAGTAGAAAAAGAGAATGCTGAGCTGAAAACGAGGCTCAGAACAGGACCGGTCCAGAATGAGATGGAGCCTTGGTATCAAAGGTTTGAAGGAGGAGAAATCAGATCTTCAGTCATACAGACTTTAAAACATCGTACCACAGTCTGAGTCTGAGCTGGAGGAGGAGGAGGATGTTGTTCACACACTGGGGAGGAAGATGGAGAACAAACAAACATCATCGTTCTCTTCACACCAACATCCAGACAAGAAGAAGTCTGAAGGAGAACTCCACTCACTGCAGAGAACAAGGAGCCATGTTTACTGAAATGGTACCTGAAGAAGACTGGGAGGAGAGGAACCACTCGTGGCCTCTGGTTGATGAAGCAGGAAGCTGGCCTGGTTCCCTGGTCCTTCTGGATACACTGATGGGCTCCAATCAGAGGACATCTCCACAAAATAAGATGGAGGAGAGGATCTGTACAAGGASCTGCAGGTTCAACACTTACTACAGATCACTGTCTGGTACTCAACTGATCTCAGGGTTAACCCTTAGTTTAAAGAGCTTTTTGTTTTGCTCCTTTTTGTGTCTTTGTTGTTTTAATGTTAAACATTTCCTTTGGTTCACTTAATGTTCGAGGTTTAAAAGTTATTGTCAAAAGGAAAGCTTTATTTTTCTTTTTGAAAGGACAGAAAAACTGTTTTTTATTTTAAGAGACTCTTTAAGTACAGATGAAACRTTTTGGGTTAACCAATGATAACATGTTGTTTAGTCAGGACACAAATCCAACTGGTGCTGTTGTAATCTGTTTTAATAATTTCCCTGCTGAGATTATAACACACAAAGACATACAAATGGACATTGGTTAACAGTGGTGATAAAAACTGACAAAATGTTTCTTCTCATAGTTAATGTTTATGTTTTAATAATGACAGTTCAAACAGAATCCTGCTGGATGATTTAACTCAGGTTATATTAGAAGTTAAAACACAGTACCTCAGATTATATCATTTTAGGAGGGATTAGAATATAACTCCAGATGAATGGTTGGAGGGGATTAGAGCATAACTCCAGATGAATGGTTGGAGGGGATTAGAACATAACTCCAGATGAATGGTTGGA